TTATTATTATATTTGCAGGAGGCTCTGGGGCCTGGAGCAGATTAGCTACAACTTTAAGCCTGCCTGCCTGCTGCTGTCCTGGGCAAAAGGCCTGTCTGCCTGCTGTCCTGGGCAAAAGACACAGGCCCTCTGCCTCAGAAGAGGATGCTTGGCGCTGCTGCTGCATTGCAGACTGAGAAGGAACTCCTGTCACAGGGCGCTCCAGCTCAGTCCGCATCGTGGTGGTGCCAAGGAACCCTCGCTGCTGCAATTAAGCCAAGGCAGCGAGCTTGTGCAGGACTCCTTGCAGGTCACAAGCCTGGAGCTTTATGTGGCTACATTTATTATTATTGTTTAAACTTAATTTTGTGTGCACTCTACTTTTTACCGTATGCACAGGTTTCATGAGCAGTGTGTACATGCAGACACATGCACCTTAGAGGGAACATAGAATGCAGCCCCTAAGCTATAAGTAACCTCTGATCCCTTAATAAAATTATTCATTAATGGAAATGGTTCAAAAGTCTGTACATCCCCAACACTTTCCCTTTCTTGGAAGGCAACCCTTTGTGAAGGAGGACCAATTAGATCATTAAAAAAAGACCTTCAATTTTTTTCCACAGCTTTTGCAAGTCCTCAGCTTTATTGTCTCCCTTTACAGAATTAAATTACCTTGCTGATAGAGGATCAAAGCACTCTTCCTCTCTGAACTTATTTCCCCACCCCATCTCTACTTTCAAAGGTGGGCTGTAAAATACCAGCCAAGTTTCACTGGGAACTTTTCTTCCCCCACCTCCTCCCCACTCCCACTCAGGAGACTGCTATGATTATCAAGACTTGCATTTACTGCAGACTGCGTATGAAATGGAAGGGAATAGCTTTTTTTTCTTCCTCTACAAATGAGAGAGCTATGGTGCACTCATATACTTTAAAATCCTTTTCCAGCGGCTTTTCTCAAACCGCTGATAGTATAAGCACACCCACCCACTCTGTTTGCTCAGATGGCAGATGGAGCAACCTATGAATTCGGTGTCACCAACAATGTAAGCATGATGTTGAATTCTAGAGGCCTATTTTTCTTCTGTAGTTGCTGCAGAGTGTGTGCGTGTAGGTGATATTCTAGTATGATAACGTACAGTAACTGGTGGAGGAATTGCACAGTTGCAGTGCTTACTGCAAGAGTGCAATAATTTCTTGATTTAATGAACATTAATTGTTACTGGGGTGATTCAACATCTTAACTGGATTGGAATCAGACTATGTAATTTTAGTTTTAGAAAACTAATTAAATTAAATTAAATTTAAAACTTATTTTAACTAATTAAGCCCCAGTACATTTACTATAATTTCTCCTAACCTATTTTTTTCTTTGTTGCAGATCTTTCAACTGACCCAGATGAACTAACAAATGTAGCTACAAAGTTTCCAGCAGTCACACAATCTTTGAACAAAAAGCTCTACCTTATCATTAACTATCCAAAAGTTTCTGCTGCTGTTGAACAATATAATAAACAGCAGTTTATCAGCTGGAAGCAAAGTTTAGGACAGAATTATTCAGATACAATAGCTAACCTCAGATGGCATTGGAGCTGGAAAAAGAACCCAAAGAAATTTCAACGTGCCATTGATACATGGATTAAAGGAAATATTAATTAATGAATTAGTAAAAGTTCAGACAACATGGGTATAATGAATGATTATACCTTGCTGCTATGACGAGTGAACCATAAAATCAGGATTGTTCACTATTTTCAGCCTCCCCATCTCCTTATATAAATTCACCCTATTAACATGTAAATATTGTTAAGTATTATGCCAGTGTATACTGCACTTAACATTACCAATTCCTTACTCAGGATGTGGTAGCCAGATTCAAAACTGGTTAAGAGGAAAACCTGATAACGGGTAACATACTGCTGCCATTAGTTATGTTGCAGTGAAAGTGGTGACCCTACCTGTGCAGTAGCATCATTGGGTGAATGCTGATGCCATCACATCTGTGCCTTCCAACATCTAACAGAAGTATGTAAGTTGTGGCGTTTGTGCAATGACATGGTCATGCACGTTGTGTCCTTTGACCACCTTACATTCCAAATGATTTGGCTACCCTGATGGCCTTATTTCAATGCAAAAAATTTCAAGCTCATCAGCTCCTCCCTCTCTACTCTTATAATGTGGCACTGAGGAGATCAGAACCATGCCTTTTCCTTTTGACTAAGGTTCTCCAAGTGGTGGCTTGTTTGATTTTGGTGTTGTATGAATCCAGTCCAATGTTTATTCAATAAGCCATGAAGAAAACATGGCTTAGTGTGAGGTATAAATGCATTCTATCTAACACCAAACAAACTATGTTGTTTAGCCTTAATTGTGATTTAAGAGGGTATCAGAACCTTGGCTCCCCACAGCATTATTTGCTTTAATTGGCAAGGCTTATGGAAATTCTCAGTCCAATAACATTGATCCAAAGACTTGTTTAGATAAATAAGCCAACTTCATAATGCAATTATGAAGTTAACTATGGATCGATAATGAAGCTCAAGCTCAGATATTTTGGTCACCTAATGCGAAGAGAGATCTCTTTGGAGAAGACCCTGAT